TCTGGACAACTGAGCCTCCAGATGACTTCAGCTCCTGCCAACACCATTTTGGAGCAGAACTGTCCTACTGAGCTTAGTCAAATATCAAATCATTAAAAACAACGAAAGGCTGTGTGTGGGTTTGGCTACACAGAGATACTATCTCAAAAAATAAAAACAAAAACAAAAATATAAGTCAACTTTATTTTTTCCAGAGCAAGTTTAGATTTTAAAAAACAAGACAGAGAGAAGGTTTCCAAGTATGTCCCACATCCAGCTCTGCTATTACTGTTCCTCACAATTACTGAGCCAATATTGAGACCTGTTACTTCCTAATGTCCTAATGCCCATATATGGAGATTCTCTTACTATTTACCTCCATTCTCTTGCTATTTACCTCTATCCAGGATACCACACTGTATTTCCTCATGTCTCCTTTGGCTCTGCTTTGCTGTTAGTTTTTCTCATTTTCCTTGGCAGTTTTTTTTTTTTTTAAATCAGATCCTTTGCAGAGTAGCCCTCTAGCCAGATCAGACCAGTGCATTTCTGACTGGACTTGGGCAATGGGTCTGAGGACAGGAGCACGCAGATGTGATGTGCTATTTCACCACCACTCATCCAGGGGACATACCACAAACATGACCTCACAGGTGACAAGATGGCCATGACCTTGCTGCTCTGGCTGAGGTGGCCGCTCTGGCTGAGGTGGTGTTTGTTAAGTTTCTCCACTACATAAAGCCACATTTAAAGAAAATTGTGCTCCGGGCTGGGGACATGGCTCAGTGGTAGAGTACTTGCCTTGCATGCATGAGGCCCTGGGTTCCATTCCTCAGCACCACATAAGCAGAAAAAGCCGGAAGTGGTGCTGCGGCTCAAGTGGGAGAGCGCTAGCCTTGAGCTGAAGAGCTGAGGGACAGCGCCCAGGCCCAGAGTTCAGGCCCCACGACAGACCAAAAAAAAAAAAAAAGAAAGAAAGAAAGAAAATATGTTCCTCATTCTTGAGGATAGTATCTACATAAAATATTTCGATTTTATTTTGTCAGTCATGGGGCTTGAACTCAGGACCTGGGCACTGTCCCTGAGCTTCTTTTGCTCAAGGCTAGCACTCTACCACTTGAACCACAGTGCCAATTCTGGCTTTTTCTGTATATGTGGTGCTGAGGAATCTAACCCAGGGCTTTGTGCATGCTAGGCAAACACTCTACCACTAAGCCACATTCCCAACCCTCTACATAAAGCATTTGGGACTCTTCTGCCCAGTATAATGATTTGGGATTTTATTTTTATTTTAAATAATAAGTAAATTTTGTGGTTCTGGGGCTTGAACTCAGGGCCTCGGTGCTGTCCCTGAGCCTCTTGTACTCAAGGCTACTGTTCTATCAATTAAGCCACAGATCCATTTCCAGATTTTTGAGTGGTTAATTGGAGAGTCTCAAGGGGACTTTTCTGCCCAGGCCAGCTTCTAACTGCAATCTTCAGATCTCAGCCTCCTGAGTAGCTAAGATTACAGGTGTGAGCCACTGGCATCTGGCTGGTTTGGGGATTTTAAACCATTAAGTTTGGTATGGTTTAATATACAGGAAGATGTATGAAACACCATCTCCTGGGTTAGGAATGTGGCTTAGTGGTAGAATGTTTGCTTAGCATGCATGAAGTCCTGGGTTAGATTCCTCAGTACCACATACACAGAAAGAGCAGGAATTGGCATTGTGGTTCAAGTGGTAGAATGCTAGCCTTGAGTAAAAGAAGCTCAGGTACAGTGCTCAGGCCCTAAGTTTAAGCGCCATGACTGGCAAAAGAAAGGGGGGAGGGAAAGGGGGAAAGATTGGGAGGGAGACAGACAGATAGACAGAAAGAAAGAAAGAATTAAAGAAAGACTATCTCCTGTCATATTCTGCCATGTACATGCTACAAATGCTTCTCCTCTCAGCCCCACCCACCCACCAACAAACCCAAACAAACAAAAATACCTTTGTCCTCCGTATTAAGTCTAGTTGTGTCTTACCCTCTCTGCTGTGAAGGAGGATGTCAGTGCTTAGAGCTATGTGCACATATAACATAAGTATCATGGTGGACATGGTTCCCTCACCTAGACTAATAGTTCTCAATGTGCAACATCATTTAGCACTTCTATATTATATGAATATATGTAATATGTTCTATTATCTGGGGCTTAAAGTCAAGGCCTGGAGCTGTCCCTGAAATTTTTTTCGCTCAAAGTTGCAGCTCTACCACCACTTGAGACACATCTCTACTTGCAACTTTTTGGTGGCTAATTGGAGATAAGAGTCTCACAAACTTTTTCCTGTCTGGTCTGACTCTGACCCACAATCCTCAGTTCTCAGCCTCCTAAGCAGCTAGGATTAGAGGTGTGGGCCACTGGTGCTGTTTGTTCTGTAGTATAGCTAGGACATCAGTACATCATAGATGCCCAGTAAATGCTTTGTTCACTTAAATAAAGTGAATGTTTATATAACTCTTTCATTTTTTGACAAGTTATCTCAATTTTTAAAAATGAAGAAAGGATGACATAAACAGCTGACATCCAAAATACGTATGTAATCATATAACAGATGTAAAACTGCCAGGTGATACACAGTTCTACTCCGTAATAGCCAGACGAGGCACAGGTACATGCATACACGCACGCGTGTGCGCGTGCACGCACACACACACATATAACATTAAATTCAATGACTGAAAGCCATGAATCATAGATAAAATGTTTTTCAGATCAACAAGTATACAGATGTCAAATATAGCAGGTCATATGTACTTCTCTCTAAGAAAATCAGGCCAAAAGGTGTATACCTGTGACTTCCTGTTAGGTCTTCTATGTTTCACAAAACATACTTTTCATACTTAACCTCTAAAAGCATGGAACGCTGTGTTCATTCTACTCAATACTTTGTTTCTCATACACTACAGGAAAATCAAGCCCTGTACATCAAGCAATATTTCAATTAAATCTTAGCTTTCCAGGAAAAGAATGTAGTACTAGCCAGAGCACCCTAGAATCCAGCCTTCTTTATCATCACATTTCATTATAAATTAATCATTAGGATCTTGGGGGGGAAGAGTGTATGGCTCCCTTAGAAGTCCTGGGGCTGGTGTGTCTTAGGTCACGTGTGCATGTGCACGTGTAGGTGTCAGGGAGATCCTACAGCAGAATCTGTGTGTCTCACTGATTCTCATGAGCCCTCAATAGAACACAGGGTCTAGACAGGCCTGATGTTTTAGCTACAAAACCAAAGAAGAGAACCGGTGAGATAGGAAAGGAAGAACAAGAGGACTAGATGATGACACGTAGTAAAGGGGGATTTAGAAAGATGCTGAGGGGCTACTTGAAAGAAGGACTCGGAGACTCTGCACAAACAGTGCTTTTCTGAAGCCAGCTCAGGAAACACAACAGCGAACATGGGCACAGCCTCTCTAGAATTCAACCAATCACAGCAGGAGGCCTAGAGGCAGTGAGGATTGGTGCGATAGGAATGCAATGACATTTAATGAATTCAATGATGTGAAAGACACACAAAATTAACCATTTTAAGATGAACAATTCAGAGGCATTCCGTATATTTACAGCATGTGCAACATCTCTATCTAGTTCTGAAATGTTTCCATCATGCCAAATGGAATCCCTGCCCCATTGAGTGGTTACTCCTATTTCTCATTTTCCTCAACCAAGTTCCAGAAACTACCAATCTGGACTCTATCCATGGTTTTTTTTTTTTTGGTTTTTTTTTTTGGGCCCGGTCGCGGGGCCTGAACTCTGGGCCTGGGCACTGTCCTTCAGCTATTCAGCTCAAGGCTAGCGCTCTACCACTTGAGCCACAGCGCCACTTCCGGCTTTTTTCTTTTTGCTTATGTGGTGCTGAGGAATCGAACCCAGAGCTTCATGCATGCAAGGCAAGCGCGCTACCACTGAGCCACCTTCCCAGCCCCTATCCATGGTTTTGTTAATTCTTCATATCATGTTAAGGAATGAGACAACGTGTAATCTTTTCTGTTCAACATAGCACACTTTCGAGTGTGACACTGCTCCACTTTTGGTCTAGTGCAGATAGCAATAGCAGCAATCAGGTACCCCAAACTTGGGTACAACCTGGGCAGTAAACAATGTGACCCTCAAAAGCTCCAAGGAAGCACTATAGCCAATTCTGAAGAAGAAAGGGGATATGCAAAGGGGACAAGGGTCCCACGTGACTGGGCCAGGAAGGAGTCACAGAAAGTCAGGACATGGAACTACACAGCAATAGTAATAATGATAAACACATAGATAATTACTTATAGAGAGAGTTGACAAAGACAGTATTCCTTCAGGCTTAGTGATCTAAACCTGATCTAAACAAAAAATCAATTTAGTGATCTAAACAACAAATCAATTACCACTTAAAAATTTCTAACCAGATGCTGGTGGCTCATGCCTATAATTCTAGCTACTCAAGAGGATGAGATTTGAGGATCTCAGTTCAAAGCCAAACTGGGCAGGAAATTCCGAGACTCTTACCTCTAATTAACCACCAGAAAACCGGAAGTAGAGCTGTGGCTCAAAGTGGTAGAGGCTAGCTTTGAGACAAGGAGTTCAGGGACAGTGCCCATTCACTAAGTTCAAGCCCCACAACTGAAAAAAACATTTTTTTCTAACATACTAATCTCCAAAAGTTATCAGTGACTACGTCTATGCAGCAAAAGTAAGGAATAGCTTTTGACTTTTTACCTCTTGTACTTTGATTAGTTTTCATTTTATATAAGAGTATATAATTTTCCTGATAGAAATTAAAAAATACAGTAGTAGTATGCTAAAAGTGAACCATAGATTTGGTCAAATAAGTTTTAAATTTGTCATACAGTGTAACAAAAAATTATACAGAGAAAAAATATCTTCTTGGACTTAGGTTATAATGCAAATCAATTTAATTTCTAGATTTATCTAAAACAAAACACCCACACCACTCTTCCATTGCCTCTACTTTTTAGTTTCTACTCAAATTGTTTGTATTGTTAAGCAATTTACCAACCTTGGAACTGCTTTCTTCCGACACTTCTCCTTCATTGGTTTGCATGGGAACAGACACTGTGCAAAACTTTGCAGAAATGCAAAATACTGCCTGAAAGAAGAAAAAAAAACATACGTTAAGGAATGCAGGACAAGAGTTGGCTATTTCAAAGCTCTAAATTGAAATTCAGTAACTGAGATCCTGGGCACTGTGAGGCAGTGACCTTAAACCACTTAGGTATGAGTATGTGCACACACGCATACATATGTGCACAAACACACATCTAAGGGGAAGAAACAGTTCCCCCTCCTTGGATGGATCAGGCTATTAACAGCTCTAGATTTCTTCCCCCATGGAAATCTTATTGTTTTTGTTTTTTTAAACCTAGTACTGAGGTTTGAACTCAGAGCCTGGATATAATCCTTTACTTAACTTTTTCACTCAATGCTAGCACTCTACACTTGCACTACAACTCCACTTCTGTCTCTCTGCTAGTAAAATGGAAATAAGAGTCTCATGAACTTTCCTTTAGGGTCTGACTTCAAATTTGTGATCCTCAGATATCAGCCTCCTGAGTAGCTAGGATTATAGGCGTGAGCCACCAGTACCTAGCTGGATATGGAAATCTTCAGTGGTTCTTGCAGTAGGCAGAAAGGAGACCCTTGGAGCCAAGGTGTGTACCAGAGTTAGGCTGCAGAAGGTTATGCTGCCATCATGCTATGTCATGCTACAGCGACTGAATGGGTTTCTTGGATTCATGGTTATGTTCAACATCCTTGATTTTTTTTATAACTAAAATTAAAATGTATTCAATCCCTTTTTTTTTTTGTCAATCATGAGGCTTGAACTCTAGGCCTAGGCACTGTCCCTCAGCTCTTCAGCTCAATGCTAGAGCTTTACCACTTTGAGCCACAGCACCACTTCTGGTTTTCTGGTGGTTTATTGGAGATAAGAGTCTTATGGACTTTCCTTCCTAGGCTGGCTTTGAACCGTGGGTCTCAGATCTCAGCCTCCTGAGTATCTAGGATTACAGGTGTGAGCTACTGGTGCCCGACTATCCCATCTTTTTATTTGAAGAAAACATGCCCAATAAATCCTTCATTTGTTTAAAAAAATAGTACTAGGCTATTTTTGGGGTAAGACATTTTTCCTCTGAAGAATGTGAATAAAGCCAAGCCCCGGTGGCTCATACCTGCAATCCTAGCTACACAGGAGGCTGAGATCCGAGGATCGTGGTTCCAAGCCAGCCCGGGCAGGAAAGTTTGTGTGAGACTCTTGTCTCCAAATTGACCACCAGGAAACTGGAAATGGTACTGTAACTCAAAGTGGTAGAGTGCTAGCCTTAAATGAAAAAACTCAGGTACAGCACCCAGACCCTGAATTCAAGCCCCAAAACAAAAAAAAAGAAAAAGAAAAGAAAGAAAAGAAAAAAGAATGTAAGGCAAGCTAGGTCTTGGGGCTTAGGCTTGTAATAGTAACTGCTCAGAAAGTTGAGATCTGGGGGCCTGTGGTTTGAGGCCAATCTGAGCAGAAAAATCCTCTAGACTCCATCTCCAAAGTAACCAGCAAATTGCCTGGCTAAAGGCATGGCCCAAGTGATATAGTGCTAATCTAATCTAGCAAGCTTGAGGCCCTGAGTTCAAACTCCCTACTGCTCTTCAAATTATGCAACATATTAACAAACTCATTAAATACCTAATTATTGAAGAAAACTCAAATAAATACAAAACAAATCTCCATTAAAATAGAAGTACAAATGCTTATAAATCTGTCAAGCATTTTAAAATGGTTCATAGCGAACAAAAATAAAAGCTAAAATGATCTGTGTAACATCTGCTGGTGTATACCAGCCCTGGTGATCTGCTCTGGACTAGCCCCAAGACCTCTACTTCTCTTTTTTCTTTTTTTTTTGGTCAGTTGTGGTGGGGCTTGAATTCTGGACCTAGGTATTGTCCCTCAGCTCAAGGCGATCACTTTACCACTTAAGCCACAGCACCACTTCTTGTTTTCTGGTGATTTATTGGAGATAAGAGTCCCACGAACTTTCCTGCTCCAGCTAGCTTTGAACCACGATCCTCAGATCTCAGCCTCCTGAGTTCTACTTCTTTTCTGCTTCACCTTCTGCTTCTCCCACCATTTCTGCTGGGCAGAAAGGAACTATCAAAGTAGCTACTGTGTTTATCTCACCGTGTTTTGGGAACAAATGTGTATTTAGGTAATGTGAAATGTATACTGAGTAGAGAAGAAGCTGTCACTTGACCTCTATTCCCTTTCTCCAAGGTAAACAAATACTGCCCGACAGTCCGTGTCTGCCTGCCCCAAGTGAAATGGGCTTCCCTGAACTGATTTTTCCCTTCCTTCTTTATGGGTTTGTAATATTCTACAAGATACATCTACCCTACACCTCCTGGACATTAATCTTATATTTGCTAAATAACTGACAGAGATATCTTCTAGTCCATGGGTTGTTATTTGGTTCTGCTGTTGTTTCTTTTGTGTTCAGAAACTCTTCATTTGATGTAGTCAGTACCATTTGTCAATACTTGCCCTTGGGTATTTGGCATCCTCCTATTCAGAAAAAAAATGTAACTATGCTTATAATTTCCAGGATCTTTCCTATATTTTCCTATAGTAGATTTAAAGTTTCAGGGCTTACTTTAAGCTCTTGGATCTCAATGGAGTTTATTTTTGTACAGGAGAAGAGACAGAGGTCTAATTTCTGTTTTCTGCAGTGTTCCCAACTAGTCAGTGTTCCCAACACCATTTGTTGAAGAGGCTCTCTGTTTTCTCCATTGTATGTTCTTGGCTCCTTTGTTAAAAATTAGTTTAACTATACCATTTGCGAGTGGAGACAGGAGGAAAAAACTGGGAGAGAGCAAGGCAAAGGGTGATATTCTTCAAAAGGAAACATACTAATATCTGATATATACAATTGTAATCCCTCTGTATATCACCTTTATAATAACAATTAAAAAGAAAAAAGAAAAAAATATTCCTGAGACTTCTCTACTGTTTTCACTGATCTTCAGGTTTCTTTATGACAATAACATGCTGTGTGTTATTGTAGTAGGTCTGTGGTAGGAGTTAAGAGTCTGGTACTGTGATGGCTCTAGCAGTGCTCCTTTTCCTTAGGATTGCTTTTGCTATCCAGGGTCTTTTATGCCTCTATATGAACTTTTGGGCTAATTCTACAATTCTGTCAGAAATGATATTAAGATCTTGATGGTATTACACTGATTATATAACACTGCTTTTGGCGGTGCGTTCATTTTCATAATACTAATAATGCCAATCCGTGAGCATGGGAGGTCTTTCATCTTCTGACATCTTAACTTTATGATTTTACAGTTTTCACTGTAGAGGTCTTTCATTTCCTTAGTTCGTAATACCTAGGTATTTCATTGTTTTTAAGGCTAATGTGAATAGAATTAATTTCCTGATTGTTCCTCAGCCTGTTGGTTCATAGCTGGTATACAGAAAAGCTACTAATCTTTTTTTCTTCCTTCCTTCCTTCCTTCCTCTCTCTCTCTCTCTCTCTCTCTCTTTCTCTTTCTTTTTTTGCTGGTCTGAGGTCCAAACTCTGGGCTTGGGTGCTGTCCCTGAGCTCCTTTTTACTCAAGGCTAGTGCTCTACCACTTGGGGCACAGCGCCACTTCTGACTTTTTCTGTGATTAATTGGAGATAAGAGTCTCACAGACTTTCCTGCCTAGACTGGCTTCAAACTATAATCCTCAGATCTCAGCCTGCTGAGTAGTTAGGATTACAGGTATAAACCATTAGTGTCTGGCCTTTTGATCTTTGAGCACTAACTCTGTATTCTTCTACGACCCAGTTTTAAAGTGGGGCTTAAAGTCAGGGCCTGAGTATTGTCCTTCAGTTGTTTTGCTCAAATATGGCACTTTACTAGTTAAGCCATAGCTTCAATTCCACCACTTCTTCTTCTTTTTTTTTTTTTTCTGATTGATTGGAGAAAAGAATCTCATAGACTTTTCTACCTAAGCTGGCTTTGAACCACTATCCTCAGATTTCAACCTCCTAAGTAGCTAGGATTACAAGCAGGAGCCACTGGTACCTGGCTAGTTTTACCAGTTTTTTTGGTAGAGCCTGCAGGGTCTGTTGAGTATAACATTAGAATATTAGCAAATAAAGATAGTTTGATTTCTTCTTTCCCTCTTTCATTTCTTTGTTTTGCATTATTGCTTTGGATAAGAACTCTAGTACTATATTGAATAAGAGGGGAGAGAGTGGATATCCTGGTTCTGGTAGGATGTACTTCTATTATTATTATTATTATATTTGTTGTTGTTTTGTTGGTGGTGGTCATGGGGCTTGAACTCTTGGCCTGGGCACTGTCTCTCAGCTCTTCAGCTCAAGGTCAGCATTCTACCAGCTGAGTCACAGTGCCACTTCCAGTTTTCTGGTGGTTTATTGGAGATAAGAGCCTCACGGACTTTCCTGCCTGGGCTGGCTTTGAACTGCGATTCTCAGATCTCAGCCTCCTAAGTAGCTAGGATTACAGGCGTGAGCCACCAACGCCCGGCTCTCTTTAGTTTTTAAGGCACTTTTTGAACTCTCCCTTTATTTCTTCAGTAACCCACTTGTCATTTAACAATGGGTTGTTCCGTCTCCATGGGTTTAAATATTTTCTGTATTATTTTTCACTGTAGTCTAGTTTAATTTCATTATTACCTAAAGAATACAAAGAGTTATTTCAGTTTTCTTGTATTTGTCCAAACTTGTATGACCTAGAATATGCTGTTTCCAAAAATGTTCTTTGGATGCTAAGAAAAATGTGTATTGTGTAGCTACTGGGTGAAAAACTCTGCGGATATCTGATGATTCCATTTGGTCTATAGTACTATTTAATTTTAATTGTTTTTAAAAAATTGTTTGTTGGGGCTGGGAAGGTGGCTCAGTTGTAGAGTGCTTGTCTTGCATGCATGAGGCCCTGGGTTCGATTCCTCAGCACCACATAAGCAAAAAGAAAAAATCCGGAAGTGGTGCTGTGGCTCAAGTGGTAGAGCGCTAGCCTTGAGCTGAAGAGTTGAGGGACAGTGCCCAGGCCCAGAGTTCAGGCCCCACAACCGGACCCAAAACAAAAAAATAATTGT